AGAGAGAGAGAGAGAGAGAGAGAGAGAGAGAGAGAGAGAGAGAGAGAGAGAGAGAGAGAGAGTGGGGGTCAGGGGAGCACGGGGGCGGGGTATGGAGGAGCAGGGGTTTGAGGGAGCAAGTGGCCAGGGTCCAGGTGGGGGCGGTTGTGAGGGTGGCAACCTCCGGTGGCGAGGACCATTGCTGTGTGGTACCGGGGGCATGGCAGCCCTACAATGGGTACGGGACTAAGGATGGTGGGAGTACTGGGTTCACCGGGGACGGGGGGAGCCGGTATCACGGGGACGCGGGCGGGGCTGCGGATGTCAAGTGGGCAGATGCAGGGCAGAACTGGGTGCCAGCGGCAATCAGTGGCAGGAGCGGGGATGCGGGGTTGGGGAGCAGTTGTGGGGATGCCATGGTGTTGGGAGCTCCTGATGGCGTGGGAGGGGTGATTTTTTCCACCCTTTCACTTTCCCGAGTCGGATCGGACACAGTTCCTCGTGTTTCAGCAGCAGGAAACCACTTGAACCGGAGAAAAAAAAAAATCCCAACCTTGATCACTGGTAATCCAGGGTTATCCGTCCCCAGCCGGGGTTCGCCCACTCCCTGTCCGCAGTGTCCGGGGATCCGGGGGAGGGGGGGGGATACAACCCAGGTTTTCTGGAGGGGATCCCCGCATGACAACCTTGGTTTGTGCCAGCCTACCCTCTCCCCCCATGCCGAGCTTACAGTGGCTATCTTGGGCCAACTGTGGGTCCAGATACAAGCGATAATGACCATATACATTCTATCGAAGGGAATATAGAAGGGAAGACGGTCGGCTGCTGCCTGCTACATGGATTGATGGACTGGTTACTGCATTTGTTAGCTTTCTTCCTGCCCTGTTGCTCAACCATCCGCTTCATTGCCTTATCCATGCCTTGCCCTCATCTTTTGTCTTGTCTTGCTACATTGCTGCTGGCTTTGTTGCCATTGCCCGCTCAGCCACTCGCCCATCAGCCTCCTTGATTTGCTGCCTGCTTTATTATACTTAGCGTTCTCTGCATTACCTAAGTGCTCGCCGCGGCACCCACTTGTTTGGACTTGCCTTACACCATGCCTGATTTCCCTTGCGGATTACTTGCTTGCATCGTTGCCCTACTCCCCGCCTTGCTGACTGCTTTCTTGTGCTTGCCTAACTCTGCCTTGCCTTAGACCGCCAGTACATGGCACTAGCCTCCCCAAAAATGAACTCGTCCCCACCACCACAACTTTCGGCCCAGGCCACAGTTGATAAATTTCATCTGTCGTGTTTCCGGCTTCCGAAAGTTGCGGTGAGGGGCCCGCGGCCGATGTATGGCCGTGTACTGGTGGTTTAGTGCTTGTCCTGCCACCCGCTTGTTTGGGCTTGCCTTGCTAAATTCAGCGTGCCACCCACTTGTTTGCACTTAGCTTGCTGCATGCCTGATTTGCCTTGCCGACTGCTTACTTGCATCATTGCCCTATTGCCTGCCTTGCTGGCTGCTTGCTTGTACTCACTGTTCCCTGTTTGGCCTAGTGCTTGCCGCGCCACTCGCTTGTTTGCACTTGCCTTGCCGCATGCCTGATTTGGCTTGTCGACTGCTTGCTTGCTTGGTTGCCCTACTGCCTGCCTTGCTCGCTGCTTGCTTGTGCTTGCATTGCCGTCATTCTGCCTACTTGGCTTGCTACTTAGCTGTTTAACAGACTGAGCATTCATTCGCCTTGTTGGTGGCTGTGTGGCCGCCCCTCTGCATACCTGTTTTTTTTGTTCTGTTTTGTTTTATAATAAAGGCCCAGCCTCCAGGAGACCTGGAATTGATCTTCGACTAAGAAACTATAGGGGGAAATAGGAGAAGGGGACAGAGCTGGCAATTTCCCAGGTGCGGACTGGGTCAATACTCACAAGTACGAGTTCAAGAAGGAGGCAGGGTGACCTATGCGGCCCCACGGGAAAGGCCTCAATTCCCGACAGTCCCCACAAACACATACGCGCTCCAGACTACTAACACATATGGCCACAGTCCCCACAAACACCGTGATGTCATGATGTATCTGAGAGACGCTGGACCCGGTTTCCAACAGGTGACGCTCCCCACCAATATATGGATCAGCCCGACACGACAGGGAAGGCCTCAATTCCCGACAAGTTCTCTTACCACCGCCGGGATAGTGGCCTTGCACAACAAGGCTTTCCAAAAAACAAGAAAAAAAAGTTGCCAACAGGGCAGTAGCGTGAGAATGAAGGTGTGGTCTGGCTGCCTGCTGTGAAGGGCAGACAACAGGGGGGGGACCTCTCTCAACCTGATGTGTTTTTCTCTTTGAAAGGGCGATAGCATTGACCTGACCGGGCCCAGGTAATTCAGAATGATTTATTCTGTTTGTCTGGTCCCGATTCGAACTCCGGTCTACATCTCAACAGTTCATAGGCATACCAACTGAGCGAGGCTTGCTACTTTGCTGTCTACCTTAAACCAACAGTGCAGTTGCGGACAAGGCCATTTTCCTCCAAAGCACCCGTGGGAAGTGTACACTGCATACGAGGCTTGAACCTCGATGGTAGCATAAGCGGACCAGGCCATTATGCATGGTGGCAAATTGGCAATGACCTTCTCGGTGCAAGATACATGTATTGCACACAAATGGAGTTTGACAGACAAAGGAAAAACAATCTCATAAAGGCATTCGTCCCGATGTTCTTTTGTCAGTTCGTTTGTGTACTATGTGCCATCCAACCACACACACAGAGAGAGAGAGAGAGAGAGAGAGAGAGAGAGAGAGA